AAAATAAGAAAGCGCATTTTTCCAAATGTTTTTTAAGCTAATGTTAATAAATTATGATATAAATCTCTCAGTGGTTGAAAAGCAACTAATTTGCGAAAACAAGTTTAAGTTTGCTTTTAACCAACTGATAAATTAAAACGGAGCAAAAAGTGCACAAAGAAAGCACCGTACGCACACATGCACGCGTATAGGTACCCCGCAGGAAATGTATTTAACTATAAGCTAACTTTAAGTTGATTGGGAAGGAGCTAAAAGTCACTTATTATCTGTATATTTTTTTTTGACGAAAGCTAACTATAATTATATGGTGATGGCCGCGAAATAGTCAAGGGTAGTTTACCTCTGCATTAGATGTAGTCTGAATTTGATGTAACTAACTTGTAACTAACTACTTTGAACTCCGTCAGACATAACTTCAAAATGATAATATGAAATTTCGTTCTTCCTTTTATTTGTCTTCAATTCGAAAAAGTATTTGCGAAGAGCAGGATATTTAAATAGAAACGCGTTAAAAAAAAACAATCTCCTTCATTACTCCTGCATTACCTGTCAACCACTTTCAAGTTAGCTTTTTGTAGCTACAAGTTATATATTTTGTAGAAATCCTGCAAAAAAGCTAACTACAAGTGGGTTATTTTTTTTATCAATTTATAATTTTTTTCTGCAGGGTATTTACACATAAATACCCAATTTACCAAACGACTTCGAATCGATTCCATCTCGTTCTAGTGACCAGTTTGTTCTCCGCCGACGGCTGGCTGGTGAACTCGTCAGAGCAAGGCGTATTTAGCAAGGTGGTGTTAGCCGTATATAAGCAAAAAATTAGACTAACAAATCATTCGCAGATATCCAGGGTTCGTATTTGCACACACATTCGCAGCACATCCTAACATTTTACGCTCACACTCGTGTGCTGTGCATATAAAAAATTAAAATCTTGCTTACATCACATCCCTGCAAGAACAGTGACAATCATTTGACCGGTAAAATGACGGACAATCCTGACAGTAATACAAAATATTAAAGGCAATGTGCAAAATTTGATGGAAAAAGTCGTATACATGTGAATCATCAATGATATAAACATTGGTCTCAAATGAATAATCATGCTTGATGGGATCTTAGGTCAGTATTGACAAATCATACTTGCTATAAAAGTTGGTCAAATATGACTGATCACAATTGATGGGTTTCGACGTCATATTAAACAACACGAGCTTTTCTCTGCTCATAACATTATTAAAATTTTTTGTTTAATTTTAAAACACTTTAATTTTTTTTTCTAAATTTTATTGTGATTTATAATGATGTACATATTTTCTTTTCTTGTGAACTTTCCATCATCAGTGACAATCATATGACCGGTCAAATGATAGTCACCGAAAAAAAATCGTATTCTATCAGCATTGTCAATCATATGACAGGTAAAATGATTGTCACTGTTCTACCCGACTCGACTGGCATATAGCACGGGCACATGTGTGTACTTTATTTTTATACCCGAGCGCACTTGTGCACAAGGGTATATTAATTTTGTTCACATAACGGTTATTTGTAACAGCGAAAATGGATCGAGATAGATATAGACAAATGTATACATAAATGCTCGGAATGAATAGAGAAGTCGATTAAGCCATGTCTGTCTGTGAGTCCGTCTGTCCGTCCATCCGTCTACACGATAACTCGAGCAAAAATTGAGATATCTCAACGAAATTTGGTATATAGGTTTCCATTAATCCAAGGTAGGTTGGAATTGAAAATTGGCGAAATCGGACTGTAACCACGCCCACTTCCCATATAACGGTAATTACCAGAAATACGAAAACTGCGATATTCAAGTAACTACTGAAGATAATTCACTCAAAATTGATATTTACAATAATTTTCAGACGATAAATAAGAATATTATAAATTTTTGGAAAAAGGGGGTAGCCACGCCCACTTATGGTTACATGTGTATATCTTGGTAACTGCTACACCAATTTCTTCCAAACTTGACACGGTTCTTGGCCTTGGCACAGCATACTAAATGGCTCAAAATTAAAAAAATCGGACAATAACCACGCCTACCTCCCATATAACGGTAATTTTCAGAAATACGAAAACTGCGATATTTTAGTAACCACTTAAGATTATTTACTCAAAATTGATTTTTACAATAAATTCTAGACGAAAAATAAGAATATTATAAATTTTTGGAAAATGGGCGTAGCCACGTATATCTTGGTAATCGCTACACCAATTTCTTCCAAACTTGGCACAGTTGTTAGGCTTGGTATAAGATACGAAATGGCCGAAAATTTTTAAAATCGGACAATAACCACGCCCACATCCCATATAACGGCAATTTAGAGAAATACGAAATCTTCGATAAATCAGTAAATATTAAAGCTAATGTATTCAAAATTGATGCTTGCAACAATTCTTTACCAAGAAATACGTTTATGGTAAAATTTTGGAAAATGGGCGTGGCACCGCCCACTTATGATCACATATATGTATATCGGTTCTACCAATTTGTACCAAACTCGGTACGTTTATTGTGCTTGCCACATAAAAGCAAAAAGTTGAAAATTATTGAGGTCGGAATAAAATAACGGCCGCTTTTCATATAACGGGAAATTTCAGAAATGTTTGAGACTTTAATATTTCGAAATTTAAGGATGCTAATTTACTCAAAATTGATACACCCCGGCTTACCATCTAACGGTAGGTTTCGGAAAGGTGAAAAAACATATATTTAATACTTGCGTCGGGTATTTAATGTTCGGCTCCGCCCGAACTTAGACTTTCTTACTTGTTATTAATATAAAACAACCGCACATGTGTGTGCTTTGCGTAGAGAAACTTATACACTTCGAATTCTAACTCAAATCTTACATTAATTTTTTAATACATATGTTTTCTGTCAAATAAAAAACAAAGACAACATATCACTTTTTATTGTCTTTCAAAAAATAACGTTTTATAAAAAAATTCATTTAAAAATATATTATATGGATGTGCATGGGCAGAAATTTGTACAAAAATCGGCTCACACACATGTGCATGCGCTTAATAACAAACCGCACACACTTTTCTGTGAGCAGAGTTTGTTTTCCACCCCGTAGCGAATGTCATGAATTAGTCACTTAAGTGTCTTGTGCGGCCATATCAAGTCTTCAATGACTTTGGGCTCCGTTTATATGGAAGTCGTTCATGACTTTTTCATACAAATGGTACTTTAGTCGTTGATGGCATCTGCATGACTTTGTCATGCAGTGATCATTGATGATATTCAAGCGACAATGTCCTGCCCTGAGCTTTTTATAAGTGACCGCTGAAAGACATTGTCCGTTATAAGTCCTTGATAGGAGTACACCTGCATGACATTGTCACCAGTGTCATTGTCAGCTATATGTCGCTTAGGATGCACAGCAAGAGCGACGATGTCACCAAATTCTCATTAGTGACGATGTCACCAGTGACCATTTTCGCTACTGGGCACTTATGCACACACTTGTGTATGAGCAGTGAGTGCAAGTTAAATGTGTTTCTGGCGTGTGTGTGAGCAGAGCATGTGTGTGCAAATGCAAACCCTGCAGATATCCATACTGTCATTGGTATGACTCATGAACCAACTAACAAGATCACCCAGCACGGCAACCGTGTATTTGTAATTGCATTTGAGAAAAAAGTAATGGTTTACAGGCTAACCTAATATTCGCGGCTTGCGTTTTGGTACGCACGCCGTCGAATTTGTTTTTTTGCGTCACCCGAAATTGGCTTGCGTGCGTTTGCATTTGATTTCATTGAGCGAAACGTCAAATCAAAATGTCACGCAGAACAAAAATTGGAAATTGAGTTAGCTTCATACGCACGCCGTTCAATTTCGGTTGGTCCCATACAAGTTTTATGTGCATGAGAAATTTTTGACAGTAAATTGGCGGCGTGCGTGAATATTAGGTTAGCCTGTTATGACGTCATTTTTTAATCGGTTCTTTCATTCACACACAGGTTTCATTCCGTTTTATTCACATGGCGGCGAAAAAATGACGTCACTGCAAAAAATTAACTTTTTTCTCGCACGCCGTGCTGGGTGATCTTTATTCGTTCGTTCATGGGTATGACTTACAACAAACACATCATTTTGAAGTAATGCTTTTCACGGCGCAAAACTCAGATGTCGCCCCAACACCACCTTGTTAAACACACCTTGCGCCAGAGGATGAAAAGCACAGTTCGCCGGCGAACTACGAAAACGACTCATCGGCAAATATATTTATGTATGTGCCATTTTTACCGTTATATATTTTTTATCTACTCGTTTATTCAATGGGGTATTCATGCTTTATTTAAATTTAAAAAATTAAATTACTATACCATTTTAGGAATCCGCAAATTCACTGCAGGAAATTTTTTTATTCTCTTTTTGTCTTCGCCTTCTCGTTTTTGCCCTCGTAAGTTTGGAAACAAGGTTTTGAACGAACCATTATATTACATTCTTAGGCAAGTTTTGAAAGAATATTTTCGATACTAAATATTATTAAAACAAAATGTCGAAATCAGCTTCATATAGAAACATTGTCATCGTTAATTAAGAAGGAGATGTTATTAAATATCATAACTTTACGACACTCATATATTGACTGGATTTGACTATTTATTTTGTTATTTTTTAATTTTAATTATTTGTTTATAAAAATATAGTTTATTCCTTAACAACCACTGTATGAAAATAAGTTTAATCTTTAAACAACATTAAACAAAGTCGACAATCTTTCGTAAAAATTGCGAGCTTTCTATTTTAATTTTATCTTTTAATATTTTGCAGTTTTTTTAGCTCATTCAATTTTAGTATAATAAACTGCAAGTTTAAAGTAGCTGGGATTTACCGTTGATGTGTGGCATATTTTTGACGATGTCGGTCATTTTCTTCCATATTATCTAAGTATGTTCGACGATGTTTTTTTAATGAAGAAAGTTAGCAACGCCTTCATCAATAAAAAAAACCAAATATTAAATATCAACGATAAGTCGCAGCTATGTATTTTAAACTTGCACTTTATATAAATTGATCGGGCTACAAAACTGCGTACTCAAAACATGTATTTCTAGAAAATCGAATTAAAAAGCTTTCCGAAAGTTTGTTGATTTTTTTAATGTTGCGCAAAGATTGAACCTTGGATTTATACAGGTTTTGTTAAAGTATAAACT